CTATTTTTTGGTTGCAGCCGTCATTGTTGTTTGGCGGGTCCGGGCTGGGGATTCGAACCCGCCACCTTAGTTGTATGTGGCTGGCGCCTTAGCCGCTTGAGCCACAGGCGCCGAGCCTAAGTCCAAGTTTTAAGTGTGCCCATCACTTGGATAGTGTGCATTGTACCCCTGAGGTTTACTCCCTCCCTTCTTGCCTCCTGTCACCTGCCTGCTTTCTCTTTCTACCATATGTGCACATGGGTGTTGATCAATTAGTTCTAATTTAGTACTTAGTACATGTGGTGTTTGTTTTTCCATTCTGGTGATACTTCACTTAGAACAGTGGTTCTCAACCTATGGATCCCGACCCCTTTGTAACAATGAAAATACATCCTGCACATCAGATTTTTACATTATGATTCATAACAGTAGCAAAATTACAGTTATGAAGTAGCAAAGAAAATAATTTCATGGTTGGGGGTCACCACAAATTGAGAAACTGTATTAAAGGGTCACGGCATTAGGAGACATTAGGAAGGTTGAGAACCACTGACTTAGAAGAATGGTCTCCAATTCCATCAAGGTTGTTATACAAGGTATTAATTTGTCATATTTATATGGCTGAGTAGTACTTCACGGTATACATATGTCACAGTTTACTTATCCACTCATGTATTGCAGGGTACTTGGGTTGATTCTAATTAAATTTAAATTGCTTAAAACATAAATGCTGGGCATTTGCCAAATCTTAGTCCTTAATGTAACTCTTTTCTATATTAATGTGTTATCTTTCTTGAAGAAAGCACCTATTCCTCTGGCTTTGTAAAATTTTACAAATGGTAGGGACACTCAGTTTAAAGGGATTACCTTAAACAAGGGACAAATATAAGATTCAGGCAAAGTAAGAGATTTGTTAGCAACAGAGCTGGAATTTGAACCCAACTCCTGAAAATATACATTTTCTACTTTGTCATGAAGAATAAGCATGTAAGTGGGAATATTTAGGTCTTCTCACAGAGGATAAAGAGAATAATAGTATATGTATAGATAATACAGATAAACAAGGAACACTTAGGTTAGTGAGAAGGTCTTCACAGAATTTCTGTTTTACCGTGCCACCAGAAGAATAGAAGGCTAGGCTAGGAAGTTTATAATTGCTTTATGAATACACAGTGGAGGAGTCTGTTACCAAAAATGCTCTGTTAGAAGTATGGTATGAAAGCTCGGCACCTGTAGTTGAGTGGCTAGAGCACTGGCCACATACACCGGAGCTGGCAGGTTCAAATCCAGCCCGGGCCTGCCAAACCACATGATGACCACATCCAAAAAATAGCAGGGCCTGTGGCAGGTGCCTGTAGTCCCAACTACTTGGGAATCTGAGGCAAGAGAATCACTTAAGCCCAAGAGTTTTAGGTTGCTGTGAGCTGTGACACCACAGCACTCTACCCAGGGTGACAGCTTGAGACTCTGTCTCAAAAAAAGAAAAAAGGGCTCGGTGCCTGTGGCTCAAGTGGCTAACGTGCCAGCCACGTACACCCAAGGTGGTGGGTTTGAATCCAGTCCAGGCCCACCAAACAACAATGACAGCTGCAACCAAAAAATATAGTTGGGCGTTGTGGCAGGCACCTGGGTCCCAGCTACTCGGGAGGCTGAGGCAGGAGACTCGCTTGAGCCCAGGAGTTGGAGGTTGCTGTGAGCTGTGATGCCACGGCACTCTACCCAGGGGGACAGTTTGAGTCGCCTGTCTCAAAAAAAAAAAGAAAGGTGGTGCCTGTGGTTCAAAGGTGTAGGGCACCAGCCCCATATGCCGGAGGTGGCAGGTTCAAACCCAGCCCTGGCCAAAAACTGCAAAAAAAAAAAAAAGAAAAGAAAAAAAGAAGTATAGTATGAAGAACAGTTATGAATTTATTTTATTTGTTAATTTTCATTTTTTATTGAAAAACACTGTCCTTTCAATTGTTTTCCTCAGAGAGACCCTTCGAGAAGTGCTCCATTTACTGAGAAGCACAGGTAACACTCAAGTAGAATACATCATCCGGATCATGAAGAAATGGGCCAAAGAAAACAGAGTGCCTATCTAAAACAGCTCCAGAGCCCTAGGAACCAGCTTCCACTTTACGTCAACTTAGAAATAATATTCTTCAAGTTTAATGTATGACGCAGGGTTCTATTTCACTGACATTATCCTTCCTTGCTTTTCAAGCCTCAAGGTCAGTCACTGACTTGCTTAGACCTATCCTCCTGGCTGAAAAAGATACTATAGTCTACGGCCCCTGAATGACTCTATAGCAATAACTTTGGACTTATCTGGTGCCTTTCTCCCTGAAATTACATCAGAGCACTCTTGTGTAATTTACTGACTTTAAGGAGAACAACAGAACTTTTTTGATGTTTGCATTTCATGGTATTTTCTCATAGCTGCAATAACAAGTCTTTCTCTGATGCTCAAGATTCACCATCGATTTATCCTCGTATGTGTAGGCATCTCTGTACATCATCTTGTTTTCTCGGGAAATTCTATAAAGGGTTTTGTAAATTCATCTCTTCATCTTGAGAGAACAGAGATTATAACTAGCTATGAGGCTCTAAGAATGACAGGTCTTTTCTCACTGTCTAGTCATTAATAGACAATAGGTTTATGGGATTACTCTTTGAATAATTAAATTATTGATTGTAATGTTAGTTACAGTGGAATAAGATGAGTATTTTTAAAAAGATTAGTACCATGAAGAAAAAAATTGTATGGTACCTCTAAAGGTATTCAGAAAAATAAGTATACAAATCTCCTTAGTCATTTTATTATATTTTAGGGAACAAAACAGGTTAGATTTTTTTAAATACATCTTGCTGAATAAACATCAATTTTGAAAATAGTGCTACAAAGACTATTTATATGCATTGTGGGCATTTATTAACATAATGATGGCCAACCATGGATGGTGTAGAACTATACAACTGTAGGCTCAGAACATATTTTCAGAAAACAGATCCACATCTTTTTATATTTAGATTGCCTTTGTTCCTACATCATATTATTTTTTCTATTAGTTAAAGGTACCTATTTACAGGTTTAGAAAATGCAGAGAAGTGTCATTTCTAGAAGAGAATGAATGGGAAGAGAACTGAAAGAAAGCAGACTTCCTCAAGGCACTAAACTCAGAAGAATTTATATAAGCCCTGTATTAGCTGTTTCACTTATTTCACTAGCATCCTGGAATTTATAGAAGCCCTGTATTAGCTGTTTCACTTATTTCGCCTTTTCGCCTTTGTCATCCTCTGGGTGACAAAGTTGTATAGAAAGGAGATTAAAATGCAACAGGAGTTAAAGCATCCAAAGAGGGGAGACTGTCGACTGATGATAGCCTTTACCTTCTCGACAGCCTCAAAGGGTTATTTCCATTTTACTCGGGAAGATGGCCAGTGTTCCTGTGTTTTATCTCTGGCCCAATCTTGTCAGTTCAGAGCACAAATACAAACATACATTTTTGATATGCCAAAGCTTCTCTTTTTCTTATTGTATTGTTCCTACCAGTAATAAATAGTTCTCAGCACATAAGGCATGAGGTGGGTCAGATCTTGGTAGAATCTGCTGTAATTTTTAGAATCATTCTTGTAATTTTTACCTCATTTAAAATATTAGAAAGCACAGTTGTAGAAAAGACAGATGGAACTCCTTAGTAGATTTTAGCGGTAAAGTTTGTCTGACAGTAAATTGCTATTATTTAAAATTTCCTATGTTTGAAAAGCTTTTCCATTGCTGGTAATTTACTTTGAGATGAACTTTTTATTGAATTTAACACTCTAAATTCTCTCTGATGGCTTTCCGTGTTTTGGGGAAAATCCATATATTCCAAAAATAGAATTTTAAACTAATTTATTAGAAGTTTTTAATCCATAGGATGCAGCCAAAAAAGGACAATCATAAGAGGGGTACCATCCAGTTCTCTTGTTAAGGATAACTGCTTCTGACATGTCTTGACAGAATTGTAAGACTGCAGAGTAGTATTGCATGACTGTTTTTTCTTATATGTGATGACAGAGAGGAAGGCCCACACTTAGGGATGGAATGAAATGTGTACATTTTATAGCTTCAATGTATTATTTATAGTCTATAGTGTACATTACTTGCAAATGGAAAAATAACTTTTGCAATTATTTTTATACTTTAAGAGAATTATTATTATATTCCACTGTATCATATTCAGATTAAAGTTTATTATTTGGTTCTTTCTGTTGAGTGTGATGTGTGTGGGATCTGGGTATATCACGTGCTTCCTCCTCTTTCTTATCTGGCCCTGCAGTAAAGGGAAAGAAATGAAGTTTGGGGTCCCACACCTTACTCTTTATAAGAGAGGAAAGTAGATATTCCCTAATATGTTCCCTTCCCATTAAGAACCTTTAACCATTAGGTTTAGCTCTGTGCTGAATTATAGCCCATTCTGATATTGTATGATCAGTTTATAGCACAATGCCTCATACATAGCAGGGTCTCAAATACTTTGACTGAATAATTTAACATATAACTGATAGAGAAAAGTATTTGTGAGATTTGACCCCATATATTCTGGTCCCCATATAATTATTATTTTATTGTGTGCTAAGCATATGCCAAGTCCCTAGGGATGTAAATATAAATAATGCACAGACCTAGGCCCTTAAGGAATTCATCTAACAGAAGTATACACAACTAAATCCAATAACATGTGCTTGACATCACCTGTACAGAACAAACTATTGAGAGAGAAAAGATTTGCAATGGGGATGTTTGTGTCCATGAAAATAGGACACCTCCTACCTCATTTGGGGGAAGCAGTCAGAATGGCTCCCAAAGCTCAACAACTACCAAGATCCCAGACTTCCACCATATGTTCAACAAATGCCCTCTAGTACAGAGAAGCCAGGAGACCACTATCCTCCTTTATGGCTCAGTGCACTTTTTAAGAAATACAAGCAAGTAGGCATTATATTACAACAGAGTGCCGTGGCGTTACACAGTTCACAGCAACCTTCAACTCCTCAGCTTAGGCGATTGCCTCGGCCTCCTGAGTAGCTGGGACTACAAGCGTCTACCACAAGTCCCAGCTATTTTTTTGTTGCAGATTGGCCGAGGCTGGATTTGAACCTGCCACCCTCAGTATGTGGGACCAGCGCCCTACCCACTGAGCCACAGGCACTGCCCTACTTTCTAATGGCAAAAACGAATTAGTGTTTTATGAGTTGCCCTCTCACTATAACTTAGACCAGGGGTTCTCAACCTGTGGGTTGCGATCCCTTTTTAACAATGAAAATACACTGAGGCATTAGGAAGGTAGAGAACCACTGACTTAGATGAATAGCCCTCATATCTCTCTTCTTCATCTTCTAAGATACTTCTACATTATGGCTTATATGTACTTTATAATAATGTTCTCATGATATTCCTATTTAGAGAGGATCTCAGAGCAGTACAGCTGGAAGCTTAATGATGTAGCTGTAATCTACTTTAATTCTGGACTTTGGGAATATGAGACTATAAAACAGCACACAATAGAATGAATACTATCAGATGATGTGCACGTATTAGCTGTGCAGCGTATAGATAAGTTTGCATATTACCATCAAAAATCCTTTCTTTAAATAAATTCTGAATACCAAATACACCCAGGGGCTGTTCTGGTGGTTGGGGCAAAGGGAAAGAGAGGAAGGAAATGGAGCAGTCCACCCTCAGGCTACCCCTTTTAGGATAACAGTTTACAAACTATGTGTATAGGGAATAAATACCCTGCCTCGAGTGATGGCACAATGGGGACAAACTGTGAGGTCATTTTACCTAATTTGTTTATTCTATATTTTTGTACATTCATTCATTCATAGTATTTTGGTCATTTACTTATATCCCATTGTTTTCCTGAGGTAAATTACCATAATATATATAACAAAATATCAATAAAGTGGCCAAGAAGCCAAGAATAAAGTCAAAACACAAGAATATATCAGGGTTGGGTGTGATTGCTAATACCTGTAATCCTAGCACTTTGGGAGGCTGAGGTGAGAGGATCACTCGAGCCCAGGAATTTGAGGTTGCATTGAGCTGTAATGATGCCATTGCCCTCATGTCCGGGGAACAAAGAGAGACCCTGTCTCAAAAGAAAAATTTTTTTAGATATATACCAGAAATACTAAAGGTAGAGCAAAAATTTCTCTCCACGCTTCCTACCAACCAAAGCAAAGGGTGAAATACAATCAGATAATAAATTTGTGGTCTATCTGTATGAATGAACGCCCTAAGGAAAAGAAAAAGCTTGATTTTCGGTAATCTCTCATTGGTCCTGGGTTTCTGAATTAGCTTTTCTGCATTATAACTTGGACCTAACTGTATTTTTTTTAATTCCAATAGAATTTTATTGTTCCTCTAAACATGCACAGGCCTTTCCTACTGAAAGATCACTGGGCAGCCAAATAATTATACTTGCCCTTCTCTGTGAACATAATTATACTTTCCTTTGCCAGTTTTTGACTAAGGAGTAATTAATATAATGAAACTGAGACATGGCATTCAAGTTTTAAAAATTACAAGCATATGCTAAGATGAAAATATAAGGAATAGTGACACAAGGAATAAATTTCAAGATACTATAAATGCAATGAAATGATGGGCTAGTATAGCTAATACTTACTGAAGAAATTTAAAGGGATAAAACACTATGGAGTAGCTTAAATGGAAAAGGCTACATGGGAGAAGTGAATCTTTTTTTTTTTTTTTTATAGAGATAGAGTCTCACTTTATCACCCTCGGTAGAGTGCCGCGGCATCACACAGCTCACAGCAACCTCCAACTCCTGGGCTTAGGCGCTTCTCTTGCCTCAGCCTCCCGAGTAGCCGGGACTACAGGCACTTACCACAATGCCTGGCTATTTTTTGTTGTTGCAGTTTTGGCTGGGGGCCAGGTTTGAACCTGCCACCCTTGGTATATGGGGCCAGCGCCCTACCCACTGAACCACAGGTGCCACCCAGAGAAATGAATCTTAAGATCAAACTTGAAGCATCAGATTCAACTAGGTAGAGAATAAGCAAATTATGTGAAATGAAGATAACAGCATAAATGAAACCATGAGTGATATTTACAGATGTCTAATCTTTCAAAGTTCCCTATCATTTATCTCTTTTCTTTCTTTCTTTCTTTTTTTTTTTTTTTAACGAATCATAGCTCACAGAAGCCTCTAATTCCTGGGCTAAAACAATCCTTCCTCCTCAGCTTTCTAACTAGCTAAGGCTACAGGCATGCACCACCATGCCCGGTTAATTGTTTTTATTTTTTTGTGTAGATGAAGTCTCACTATGTTGCCTGGGCTAGTCATGAACTCCAGGCTCCAAGCAATCCTCTAGCCTCACCCTCCCAGAGTACTAGGATTACAGATATGAGCCACCATGCCCAGCTCCTTATCTATTTTCATACAGAGACTAATTTGTT